TTGACGTGTCATACAACAACTTGGAAGGGCCTCTTCCAATAGGGCGACTATTTCATAATGCCTCCATAGGATGGTTCCTCCATAATAACGGCCTCTGTGGCAATCTCTCGTGCCTTCCAACATGCGCTTCAGCTATGGATTTGGAGCATCATGACAGAAGAATTCATGATTGGCATTAGGTATTTCCATTCCTTTGTGCATAGTCGTTATGCTCACATTTTTAGGAGTTGTTATGATTATTCACAAGAGAAAAAGACCGCACGACAACACGACCGCTGTAGATACAAGAGATGTGCTTTCAGTGTGGAATTTCGATGGGAAACTAGCATTTGAGGATATCATTAGGGCAACAGAAAATTTCAGTGAGAGTTACATCATTGGATCAGGTGGGTATGGCACTGTCTATAAAGCTCAGCTTCAAGGGGGGAGATTGGTTGCAGTAAAAAGGCTTCATAAAACTGAAGAAGACAATATGAATGATGAAAAGAGATTCATAAGCGAAATCGAGGTGTTGACAAAGATACGGCACCGAAGCATCGTTAAGCTATATGGGTATTGCTCCCATCAGTTGTACAAATTTCTAGTTATGATTACATTGATAGAGGAAGTCTTCATGCAACCTTGGAGAACGAGGAGCTAGCAAAGGAATTGAACTGGCAGAGGCGAGTTGCCATTGCTAGAGACGTGGCTCAAGCTATGTACTATTTGCACCATGAATGCAACCCGCCAATAATCCACCGTGACATTACAAGTAGCAACATATTGATCGATGCACATTTCAAAGCTTGTGTTTCAGATTTTGGCACAGCAAGGATTATAAAACCTGATTCATCGAATTGGAGTGAATTAGCAGGGACATATGGTTATATAGCCCCAGGTATGTGGCTTGCTTTAATTCTACTTGCATGTTGCATACTTGTTAGAAATAAGCTTCACAAAACTGCGACTATATATTGGTACCTAAAATTTATTAGAAGACTGTAACATATGGAATTAGTTTCATACTACTACAGCTACCTTGGTAGTTTGGTGCCATTACTACAAGTTTGCATACAACTACAACTTTTACTCAACGTTTCACAATAGAAAGTTGTCCTTTTGCATTACTAGGGTAAGAAAAAGTAGTATGGTTCTATATATGAAACTACTCCCATAATTTGTAATTATTTTAACAGTTAGGTGTAAATAATTGTAGATTTATGAGATTTTTCTATATTATTCTTTACTTGACTCTAATTCTTTTATTTTTTTTATGTAGAGCTTTCATACACATCAGTGGTGACAACAAAGTGCGATGTCTACAGCTTTGGTGTAGTTGTGGTTGAGATTGTGATGGGAAGATACCCTAGGGAACTTCAGACCCTTCCTTCCATTGAGATTGCAATGGAAATGTTGGACCAGCGAACATCATTGCCAACAATGGAGGAGGTAGAAGAAATCGCTTTGCTTGTCCAATTGGCATTTGCTTGCATGCAAACTTCTCCTCGCTCAAGACCAGAAATGCAGGATGTCTATCAGAAACTGACTCGCCACCCCTTCTCATGATGTTGCCATATTTATTATGCACTTACTCTGGAAAAGTAACACAAGAACATGTCAAAGATTAGCAGTTTAGGGTTTGATAACCTGAGACTTGTATTATTTAACCCCAATCTGTAGACATAATACTATAGTGGCACTGGATAAAGCCCAACGAGATAGTGTCTGGCGTGGCCACGGTAATGCATCAAAGCAGCATCATATAACTATAGATTTTATTTGTTGAACCTTTTCTATTTTCTATACATATTTTTTTCTTGTGAATTACTGGAGATGTGTAATGACTTGCACCCTATGTCTAGATATCTGAATTACACATGCATATCAAAATTCAAAAGCGTTGTGTCGCCTATCACGCACAAAGATATGAGTGCGCTAGGGCGACTCCCTGTCACCGATGCTTTTCATGTTGTCTATGCAAGTGCTCACTAGATTGTTCGCCGAGGCAAGATCAGATAGGGTGTCAAAGGGGCATGGAAGCGAAGGGAGTCAAACATCAGTGCAACCTATATGCAGATGATGTCATTCACAATTAGCATCGGCGATCAAGGACATACTCCACATTTTTGGAGACTCTTCTGGGTTATGAGCCAACCTTGGCAAGTGTTCAGTGACCTTGATCTTTAGAAGTGAGGACAATCTACTAGGCATCAGATATATATCGTTAGCTAAATCTCAGATTTCCCCATTCACTAACCTTGGCTTGCCGCTGAGCTCAAGGGCAATCCCCACAACACATTTGCATGCATCGATAGATGCAGTCACGCGGAAGCTTATTATGGTGAGGAGCTAGGTCTAGGTGAAATCAGTCCTCTCTCCATAGCACAAATATACACCTTGCTCACTGACAATTACCTCTCTAGATCCACATGGAAATAAAACGGATGCAATCCACCGCCTGTTCCTCTAGATGAGCAAGGAAGGTTGAGTCCAAGGCAAATGTATGGTGGCATGGACTACGGTTGCCGACCAAAGGAGCTAGCTAGGTGGACTCGACGTCACCAATCTTAGGCTCCCTAGGATCGCCCCATAGACACAGTGGCTATGGCTCCAACGAACCGATGCAGACAGAACATGGACAGAGCTCAATCAAGTCCTGTCCAAAGTTCTAAGCCTTTTTCTTTTTGCGAATGAGTTCTAAGCTTTTTACGCACCTTAACATTCACCATAGTTAACAAAGGTCGGTATATGGATACCCAGTTATCTATAATATCTAGATTCTAAAATCCCTAGCAAGAATCTAAAATTCTTAAAATCTCTTTGGGATTCAAACGACACCAAAGTTGTATGCATTCTTGATCTCAAACAGTAGTTTCTTTGGTCCTCTTGGCCTCTTGGCCCCACTGCCCACAGATTTTGGTGCACACAGCTTGTGCTTGCGAGAGAATCTCTCCACGGTTCACGCGGTCACGCCCATGGATTTGTTGGGCTCCGTGACTCCACCAAAATTCATCAGTTGTTTCTCTCAAGTCTCAGGTCTTCTTTGCTGATCGATCAAAAAGAAAGAAAAAAGTCTTCTTTACTGATGACCGGCACTCTGAAGTTTCTGAGAAATCTGGCTTAAAATAGGATGATTTGATTTGATTTGTCAAGCAAGACAATGCAAACAATATACTAGTACTACGTACAGTACTGTTTATAGTTATCTGATACAGAAACAAAGGATGTTTCTCTTGGAGGGGAAAAAAAAGAACAGGCATATTACGCCTGTTCACTTCCTCGTAAACGATCATAAATTCTCAGCCGGGAACAGTGTTTTTTTCTCACACTAAACCAGCCAGCAGTAAATAATCCACGATACGATACGGCCTCCTGAACAGTGTTTCTCTTCTGGGCCGTCAACGGTCAACGAAGCCGGCCGTCCTTCAAAATCAGAGCTCCAACGCGCGACCTCCCGTCCTCCCCGCTCTCCAGTCTCCACTCCCAGGCCAGGCGGCACCCGTCCGGAGCTCGCTTAGAGGGCAGCGGCACGCGATGGGGTGGGCGGCGCGGTTCCTGACGGCGGTGTCGTTCCTGGCCGCGGGGGTCCTCTTCGCGCCCGACGCGCTGGGAGCCGGCGCCGCGGCGGCCGCAAGGCTGGTCCACGTCCTCGCCTTCGCCACCGCCTGGGGCGCCGGGCTCTGGGTCACCTTCGTCGGCGGCATCGTCATGTTCAAGTAAGCAAAGCGCACTAAGCAAACGCCGCCGCGTCGATTCGCTGGGACTTGGGGTATTGTTGCCTGCTAGCTTCATTCGAGGAGGAAGCGAAGCATCACTCCCGCGCCGAGCCCTCCTCTACCTCGCCATCGGCGTGCTCCAGCATTCGCCCAGCCGCCCGCCAGGCGCCGGGATCCAACGACGGCGAGAGGTTAAGTCCAAAACACTAGGGGCTTTTCTGTAAATCAGGGGCTTATATGCAAAACCACCGCGGCGACGGCGAGTCGGCGATGGCTTCCGGCGGACTGGGACGTCTTCTTCCCCTCCACGGCCACTCCGTGTCGTCCCTCCCTCTCCGGCATCGGCTTCATCGTTCTCGGAGCGCCGAGTCTTCAACACCCACCGGCCACAGCACTCGCACCGTAGTTAGAGGAAGGTTGGGAGACGGGGAGAGATGCGTTCCACCTGTCTTCCTTGCCGATGCCACTTCAGTACTTCACCGAAGCCTCAAAATCCAAGATAAGCCCCTGATTTTGATGTGCTGCTGCTGTCAGCAGCGATTCAAAATCAATTTCATATTTTCAGTGCACAGCACACATTCTTGGAAGAACATTGAGGGAAACTCAGTCTTTCAGATGCTGATTTTGAACTATGGATGTAAGATGAGAAGCAGCAGGAATCTTTCTTTAGAATTATATGACTTCTAGTTGCATGGGTCTTTGCTCCTCGCGAATTCACTGGATCAGCGTCTTAGTTTGGTAACTATTAGTCCTGAAAAATCACACTGCAAAAATAGGACTTGCACCTTGAAGATATGTTGGGAAGGAGAATTGGGATGCCTGGAGTACTCTTATGTCATATCGAGACAGCTCTTACTCTTAGGTATAAGACTATAAGCTTGTGTACTCCATTAAACATTCTGAAAGTTCAGCCTCCATCGTTTTCTCATTAAACATTCTGAAAGTTCAGACGTTTTCTCATTAAACATTCTCAAAGTTCAGCCTCCATCGCTGCCTTTTTCAAGGAAGTGGAGTGGTTTTCTTATTTGTTGCTTACATATTAGGATTTTTGAGTAATATACAGTGCAGTCTTAGAGTCTAGAAGCAATTCCTTTTGCTCAGCTGTTGAAATATCCTTCAATAAATTTTTACACAGTGCTGATATAACACTTTGTTATAGTGAGAACTAAGAAGTCCAGCGGAAAAGTAAAGTCTAGCATATATGTTCTTGTTGCAATAGCACCATGTGCGGTTCAGTTATTCCCTTACTAGAACATAGTGTAAACCTTGATGATGTTTTGATAAAATCCTTCTTGAACTCGGAAGGTACTTGCCGAGACACCAGTTTGGGAGTCTGCAGGGGAAAATGTTCCCAGCATACTTCATGTTGATATCAGCATGTTCAGCGATATCCGTGGCAGCATTCGCGTACCTGCACCCCTGGAAGACAGCATCAACCATCGAGCGCTACCAGCTTGGATTCCTTATTTCAGCCCTTGGCTGTAACCTGTCCAACCTTTTGGTCTTCACACCCATGACCGTTGAGGTGATATACTTTATTCATGATCTTCAGCTTTTTATTTACCTCTGTTTGCTTTTGCCAAATGACACTGTATTATAGTTTGGGTATGCAGTAATCTCAGGACTAATGAGTGCATATTTTTTACGGTTCGTTTGCAATTTCGAGATTAACTATACTTGTATTTGAGGTAAGGAAAAGGGAAGACACTTTGATGAAGGTTTATATTGTTATATAGGTCATGACTGCAGTTTCTGAGTACTAAATCGTTGTGGCGCATACAGGAACGTATAGATTTGTTTTTGTTTTCTTTTTGGGAATCAGGAATAGACAAACTGTCTAATCACAGAAATTTGGATGTTCGCCATTTCCAACAAATGTCTTTGCAATCTTCGCACCACCAAGATGGGTTTTGCAGAATTGCACTCAGCTTGTTGACACTTTGATTTCCCTGCCATTTTCTTTTTCTTTTTTCCTTTTCAAACAGGGTCCACTATGTTTTGTTTTTTAGTGAGCAATCCAGTGTTGGGATTTGGGAGGCCAGAATCTAGCTTTTTTATTTAGAAGCACAGAGGTATGTCTGGCCATGCGTATGAACCTTCAGAATATCTGATTGTCATGAATTTACAATGCAACTCTTTCTGTGCTTTTAGATGACAAACTTGACAAATGAGTTATCTTGACTGGATCGCTGAAATCTGCATCGAGCACAACTCATTGTACTATTCAAGTAGACAAGTACTAGCTAGGGTCGGACACAGAGATATCTTTTGGTTGGTTAAGCACTACTACTCTTTCTACCTTCAGTATCGCTCGTTCTTATACAGTGCTCTGCTCGCGCAGATGATGATGAAGAGGCACAAGATGGAGAAGGACCTCGGCATCGCCACCGAGGTCGGGTACTCGAAGAACGCGGAGACGGCAAAGAGGAGCCCCGCCCTTGCAGCCATGAACCGGAAGTTTGGGACGATCCACGGGCTGTCGTCGCTGGCCAACATCATGGCCTTCGGCTGCCTGGCCATGCACTCCTGGTATCTCTCCAGCAAGCTCGACCTGTGACTGATGAAGGCTTTTCCCTTTTTGTGATGCTCGCCACGACGTAGCTGGTGGCTACAAACTCGGAGCTTTAACTTAGGTCTATGTATGGAGACACTGATGTCTGTCTTGTGAGAGAACTTGAGACGAGATGTGTTGTGAATTTGAATAATGTACAGAATGTATGTAGGCGGATGATTGGTGTTTGAAATTGTTTACATAGGAAAACTCATGCTCTGACTGTCTCTTTGGCATAATATAACCAAGATAGATGGTTTGCAAGAGGCGTGGATGTGCAGAGGTGCAATTGTGCACACTTTCAGAGTTCAGATAGTCCACGCAGGCCGCGGCTAGACTAATATCTAATGGGCCCGCATGTTAGAGTCTACGGCGGTGAACCAACGCAACATGTAGCCCAAAGTCAGGCAAGCCTTTCGCGCCACGGCCTATTTCACCGGCTCCGTACTATTATTTTTTTTATTACCCGAGGCAACATCCTAGAAAGAAGGTGTGGTGGACTCTGACGCGGACTTGTGGCTTTATTCTCACGCGGACCTGTGGGGCCCAACCAATGGCCGTAGTGGGAAATAAAATAACCTCCGACGAGGCGAGGACGGAGGACCCCGTTTCACTCTGCAGTCTTCACTTCCTCCTCGCCGGCCCAACTCCGGGGGCGCACTTTGGTCGTCGTCTGCCGGCCGTTCTCTCGATCTCTTGCATTGGTGAGTGATGACTACCACCTTCCCGGCTTCCCGCGTCCGATAGTGTAGCACTCGCTCGCTGTATGCTTGAGAGATCCGCTTGCTTGGTTAAGAGAGTTGGCGGTGGCCGCCGTTGCGTTGTGTTTGCGCCCATGCACTCTCCTCTAGTCCTCTTGGCCGCCGTGGGTTGGTCTGCTCGGGCGAGCGGCCAGGTGACTGCTGAGCCGCCCTTGTAGGTCAGCCTCAGGTTGCTTGTGCCGCGGGGCGAGCAGACAGACCCGTCTTGACTGCTGCCTGATCGAATCCCGTCCACGACGCTGTGGTAAAAAAAAGATTGGATTTTGTACTAGTCCGGCTTTTAGATCTTTGCTTAATCGAGTTTCACACAAAGTTGAGGAGTGTTCATCACATACTGCATCCAAGTCTCCCTTTTTCCCCTTTCCTTTTCTTCTTTTGTGTGTGTGTGGTCAGATGGTAATCCTCCACCCCAGCAAAATTTGATGACAATATCCATATGGTCTTGCGATTTTGCTAGCTAGATCTAACAAAGGAGCGAAAAGTAAACAAGGGAAAACACAAACACACTGTGACACTGACGACTTATTAGCTTTGTATCGTACTTTGGTTGATGATTATTTCAGGTGCTTGCATCAACGCGTACGCAGGAATTCTGAAGCTGTGCCGACCAGGGTCCAGGGCGTAAGACTAGGATGTTGCAGCGGGTCTGAACGATTGCCCTGCATCAACGCCGCAGCATCCTCCTAGCTTCAAGTCTTACGCGGACTTCACCATGAGTTCCAGTGGGTTGTGGGCTGAAGACCAGGGATCCAGGCCGCATCAACGCGTACGCAGGACGTCTATGCAAGCTGCTAAGCTGTCAGAAGAAGATGGTGTGTCGTCATCACAACCACCGGAATTGGAAGACAAATCATCCAAAGCCAAAACCGCCAAGAGTGGTATATATAAGCTCGTGTCTCCGGGTGATGAAGTTCGGTGGATGGCGCTGCTGGGGCTGGCGCTGTGGAGTATTATGTTTCCTTTTTTGTCGCTGCAGCAGATGGCGCTGGTACTGGGGCTGGTGCTGGTGCTGGTGCTGGTGGGGCTGGTGCAGAAGGGGCTGGTGCCTTTGCGGCTGGTTCCGCTGGTGCTGGCGCTGATAACGATGCTCGTGTCTCCGGATGATGCAGTTCGGCGGGTGGGGCTGCTGGGGGTGGCGCTGCTGGCGGTGCTGCTGGGGGTGGCGCTGGGGCGGGTGCTGCTGGGGGTGGCGCTGCTGGGGGTGCTGCTGGGGGTGGCGCTGGGGCGGTGGAGTATTATGTTTCCTTTTTTGTCGCTGCAGCAGCTGGCGCTGGTACTGGTGCTAGTGCTAGTGCCGGTACAAACCCTCCACAGGTATGGACATCCACGTACAAACTATACACATGCACAATACATAATTTGGTAGGCTATATTAGTCTGTAGTTAAGCTTTTGAGGTGTTTTTTTTATCTTTGTTTGGTTGTCCGTAGAATCCTATATAAACCTATGCTGTGCTAAAAGTAGACCAAATATTACATTAGGACGTCCCCAACAAGGAACTTTTTGCTAGTTATTTGTACGTGGAGTAAAGAGAACGTCAAAAACTATAGCTAGCGATAAGTTCCTCGCCTAGCTCACACAGGTCCCTATAAATCTACTCTCTCTGCTGACCGAAACCCACTCTTGCCTTGCTGTGGGGATCACATTTTTTTCCTTTTTTTTTTTAATTTCTATCAGCCGGCGATTTGCTTTTGCTTGTTGAGGACGCCCTTAGCTAGTATGTTAGATTTTATGTTATTAGATACTCGAGCTCATTAGTGCCAACAGATTTTATGTTATTAGATACTCGAGCTCATTAGTGCCAACAAAATGGAATATCCTCACATTCTCTGTTTCTATTGATACATGGAGCCATATGGAGGCGATAAAAAATGCGACACACTGTGAGCAACCACAAACAATGTCACTAAACGACTAAACACAGATTGCATGTGCAAGACAACTAAAAGCCAACGCATTGCATGTGTTTATGTTGCTTCGGATTGTACTGCATAAGTCTTAATGCATGCTAAGACTGGTACAAATAATTAATCACACCCTCGTCTTTCACAATATGCTTCGCACCTTAATATGACAAATAATGCTTATTCTTTTATTTACCTTAAATACTACATGCCATTAATTTGCCATATGCGTATACGTAATGATAACATCGAGAGCAATACAGTAATCATACTCTATTTCTGCTTTTACCTACTTTAAACTCTTAGAAACTATCTTCCCCATCTTGTAATTTATGTACTTATAAACAATAGAAAATCTTTCGATTGCCTCTTGTAGGGTCTTATATTTTAGTTTTGCCACAGGATCATGAATTTCTGTCGCGCATGCATGCACGGGCATGGCGGCAGGCTCCTGAAGTGGGGGCCCCACGAATGGGTTCTGGACTCCGGCGCGTGGAACCACCATACCTCCAACCTGGCGCTGCTGCTTGAAGGCGGCTACTTCCAGTCTCAGGAGCTGGACAACAAAGATGCTCCGTCGAGCGGGGATGATGCCACCGCCCCGCATGTCCATGTCCTGGGGCGCGGGTCTGTACGGACGGACTGCTTTGACTTCCCAGGCGTCCACTATGTTGTTGGGGACGACACAAGGAATGTTGTGTCGGTGTCTCAGCTCGCTCGTGATCATGGACTGGTCACTGTCTTTGAGCCGACGTCTTGCCACGTCAAGGAGAAGAAGACCGGGAAGATCGTTGGCAAGGGTCGCTTACGCAACGGCATGTACATACTGGATTCTCTACACATCGTCGGCCAAGTGAGTATATACACACACACCTCGAACATCTCTTCTTGAACGACCTTGAGTATCCTGCGAGCACATTTAGTGTTGATTTACATCCATCTATCCAGTAGTGCATGGAGTAGGCTTCAATCTATTGATTCTATTTTTTCATATGCACAGCATATAAGAGACGGAGGAACAAGTGGAGGCGATCGCCATGATGGAGCAGATGGAGGTGGTGGAGGTAATGGAGATGGTGATAGCACAGCTGAAGGGCGTGGAGGAGGTGGAAGAGATGGTAGGGGAGGAGGAGGAGGGACCGGAGCTGGAAACCAGGGAGAAAGCAGTGGAAGTGGAGCCGCCAGAGGAGATATTAACGAAATAAATGAGGAGGGGGAGGGCGGGGACGAAAAAGAGATTGAAGAAATGGATGATAATGATGAAGATGACATCAAGGAGATGGGAGAAATAAATGGCAAAGGGGAAAAGGAAGATGATGAGAAAAGAGGAGGACAAAATTCTGGACAATTATCGTCTCGATCGCACACAGGCTTGTTTGTCATGTCAAGATTAGGTACGAACTTAACTACTGCATTGTACAAAATATTCATTTCATTATAAATCTCTATTTTCTTTGAACTTACTGGATTGTGGATTATTGTAGATTGCATATGCTGGATTGCCATATTGTGCATTGCAGCTTGCATATTGCGACCGTATACAGGCTGGGGGGCAGGAGTAACAATCTTGCCTGTGAATTTTCACAGTCTAGTATCTGGGTTCTCGGTAGTCCTGTTTATTTTGAGCTTCCAACTTTTTAAAACACGGATGAGCACAATCTGTAAAGAAGAAGAAACATTGGGGCCTTATCTCCAAGAATTATCTCATCAGGAGCATAATAAGCGATTGTTTGGGCTATCACGATTTGATGCGTATGTACCTGCTGCACTATATCTCAAAGATATATATAAGGAATGTGTTCTTGATAAGTTTGTGATATATGTATATGTGTCTGCAGGACTACGGACCCGACTGGGTACCATCTTCCCGCTGGAGCCTTTCCTGCTTCGTCGACAAACGCAGCACGCCGAGAAGAATTTCTACTGGACTCGGGTGCATCCTTCCACATGACATGGAATGAATGGATTCTAATTCCCTACCCCAAGGATCTAAAGGATCATACCGAGCCACCGACGCGGCGTTTCGGAGGGATTATTGGGTCTATCGCGGTCAAAGCATCTGGCTACTTGAGCAGCGATAAGATCAAGCTCGACGGCGTACTGCTTGCTCCCGACTCACGGATGAACCTTGTCTCCGTTGGCCAGCTCTCGATCCAGTACGAGGTGAATGTGGAAATGGACGACAAGGGGTTCGTCATCAAGAAGAAGCAGGGCGGGGTACAGATTGGGGGAGGCAAGATGATCCACCATCTGTACGTGCTGGAATATCTCAACCCAGGAGTTCTATTTGCTCTCAGCCCCACACCCGACTTCAAGACCTTTGGTACAAGTGTCAGCAGTTCTGCATCAGAAGTGAGCAAGGAGGATGACGGTGCCGTTGCTGAACCAAGCGGGCCGGAAGGAGAAGTCGCGAAGCCCAGGAAGCGGCAGCCCAACAAGAGACTCTTCGGTCCAGAATGGAGCAACTAGCCAGCTCGGCCACAGCCACAATTCGGCCTGCGCGCGGTAGAAGGACACCATCGTCTTGTAAAGGAAGGCATCTATTATTGAACCCAAAACTCCTCTGCACTAAGCATTCTTCCCCAATGTTCTAAATCTTATTATTACAAATTGCAGGCCTCGATAGAGCCTCCACGTTAATTCTCATCAGACGCGATAGGAAAAAAGATAAATGCTAGAAATTCTTACACTAATCAGAGACGTCTAGCCATCAAATCTATAGACGACTCTGGCAATCCGTAACTATTAGGTCTACTTTAGTTTCAACAAAATTATCCACATTTTCCATTATTATTACAGATAAAAAAGAAAAAAAAATCCATTATTTTAAAATCCACGTAAGGAAGGATTTTCTCTACCACGATCGCGGCACCCGCCGCCGGGCAGCTGACTTGTGCCGGGCCGAGCAAGCAAAGAGGAGGCCAACACAGCGCAGGCACGTACATCTACACCGCCGCCTGCGCGCCGACTCCTGCGACATCGAGACGCTCAATGTCCCTGGCGTGTACCGGCACCAGGTCCGCGCTCCACCCACTCCCAGTATCTTTGCTCTTGTTTAGTTTAAAAAGTTTTCCCAAAAAATACTACAGTAGCCATTAAATCGAATTTTACGATACATGCATGAAGCATTAAATGTAAACAAAAAAAACTAATTGCACAGTTTGGTTGGAAATCGCAAGACGAACGTTTTAAGCCTAATTAATCCATGATTAAATACTAATTACCAAATAAAAACGAAAGTAATACAGTAGCCAAATTCCCAAATTTCACCTAGCTAAACGAACGTTTTGTTGAATTGCTTGCGGCTCTCAGTGACGAGGAGGTCTTCGTGGTGTTATTAGCCTGTGTCAGGCTTTGCCGCGCGGTTTTCTGTTGATTGCTTCCTGGCGACCTGACCGCGACGTCGACGCGCGATCTGAACAATAATGTTTCTGTGTCAGGCGACCCTGCTTTCACCGTATCGCTTGCTTGCATAATGAAATTGTTTGTGGCGTGTAGGGTCGAAGTGATCACCATGGCTGAATGTTTGAAGCTGATTACTGTGGTGTGTACATGTATGCAAAATCGTTTGCAGTATTAGTCTGAAGCTTCTGTCATACACGGCTACACGCTTCTGCCATTTATTTTGATCACTTTTGTCTCCTGCAACGTACATGATATTATACTTATTGACCATTTTAGGTATAATTTTCATTTTAATTTAATGTCCTTGGATTACTTCACACAAATAAGTGTTGATACAATCCTTATTAAGCATCAGATTATAATTCTTTTTTTTATTGATTATTAACTTAATAATAATGTTTTTTTATTCGTCGGCAGGGGAGCCTCTGACCTTTTTTTTTTTGTTTCAAGGGATCTCAACCCCGGGTGCATGAAGAAACGAGCGCCTCATCTGACACTGATATACAAAAGGGCTCCCGGCTGATCGCATCTTTGATCGCCACGAATGCACACAAGCCGGCTGCACGGGGAACGCCAGGCCTCGGCTCTCCGTCAACGGCATACGGAGCTTGCTGGTCGGCACTTCGTCGTGTTCCGGATTGTCGGGCACTATATCAGGCACTGGATAGTCAGGCACTATATAAGCCACTGATTTGTCGGGATCTAGATTGCCCTCTACTGCTATGTCTTACAGAGCATGCGTCTGCCAAGCCGACGCTGTAGATGCAGTCAATACGATGTCCTCTTGTGCCAAAGGATGAACTCCTTCTCACATTCTCCGAGCAATTGTAGACCCTCTGGAGTTGAAATGTCTATCTTGTACTACCTATACTTGAGCTTCGTATAGTGCACACATTGACTTTGGTGTAGTCTGCAGGGATCTCTTGACAATGAAACATGCCGCCCAGAGGATGTGACTCGCCCGTGGCCACCTCGATTAATAGTCGCCCCTGCCCATCCCACAAGGTGCAAGCTTCCTATATAGCATCACTACCGGAAACCTCAAATTTGCTGAGTGTTTTTATGTTTATCGAGTGCATTACCTTGGGCACTCGACAAACAAATTCTTTGTCGAGTGCTATCCTAAAAACACTCGACAAAAAAAAACACTCAGCAAAGAGGAGAGTTTGCCGAGTGTCAAACAAAAAACACTCGGCAAATGGAGGGTTCACCGAGTGTCACGAAAAAACACTCGGCAAAGGGAGGTTCGCCGAGTGTCTTAAAATCAACACTCGGCAAAGTAAAAAAATATAGAAAAAAACCCACCTGCAATAAAATTTGGCCCCTCGCCTCCCAGCCCCCTCGTCCCCACCCCCCTCCCATCCCAGATCCCCCGCACCCGCCCCTCCTCCCTTTTCCGCCCCAGCCCGTCCGAGATCCCTCCTCCGCCGCCCCCCTCCTCCTTTCGCAGACCGGATCCAGCCCTCCCCCCCTCCTTCTTCCCCCTCCGGCCGGCCCCTCCTCCCTCCTCCTCCTCCCACGTCGGATCTGGCCCCTCCTCCCTCCCTTCTTCTTCTTCCCGGGTGGCATGCCCCTCCCTTCTTCTTCCCCGCCATGGCCAAGGCTGCCGATCCGGCCCCCCTCCCTCCCTTCTTTCTTCCCCACCGTGGCACCACGATCCGCCCTCCCTTCTTCTTCCCGCGGTGGCACGCCGGATCCAGCCCCCTCCTCCCTCCCTTCTTCTTCTTCCTGCCAGTGACTGGATCTGGCCCCTCCCTCCTCCCCTTCTTCCCATGGCGATGGCGTGGGCGGCTCGGCCCCTCCCGGTGATGCGGAGCAAAGCAGCAGCAGCAGCAGGTGGCGGTGCAGATCCGCCCTCCTCCCCTCCCTCCATGGTTCCACCGGCGGGTGGCATCGCGGATCCGGTGGGATGGAGCCACCACGGCGCGGATCTGGTGGAGAGGTGTCCTCCGGCGGCGGATCCGGTGGGTTGGATCCCGGTGGCGGTGGATCCGTGGATCTGACAGCGGGCTCCATGGCGGCGGCCCCTCCCCTCCCCTTCTTCTTCTCGCGGTCGGCCGGTGGCTGTGGTGGTGGTGGTGGTGGCCAGCGCATGGCGGCGGCGGTGCGGGCGTGGATGGCGGAGTGCCTTTTTTTTATTTATTTTTTTGACAAAAAAGTTTGCCGAGTGTTTTTTTTTTGCACTCAGCAACGTCTTTGCCGAGTGTTCGACAAAAAACACACGGCAAACTAGCGTTTGCCGTTAAAGGGTTTGCCGAGTGTCGTTTGCCGAGTGTAACACTCGGTAAACCCTTTGCCGAGTGTTTTTGGGTCTTCGCCGAGTGCCCCCGGCACTCGGCAAAGCTCCTGGATCCGGTAGTGCATATACTGGAGTGTGCACTGCCTAGGAGGTACGTAGGAGGTGAAATATATATATTTATTTAATTTTTTGTATTTTGAAATAGGATAAATAAGAAAAATTTTGGATATAAATTTTTTATAGACCTAATTGATGAATCCATGATCTATCGGATATGAAAAATATTTTTATTTTACAACTTTGGGCATGACATAAGTTGATTAACAAGTAACATAACGTGACATGTATTATGATTAGCATAATATTAACATGACTGTTCTGGCTGGTCTGAATCTTGGCTGAAACTGGCTGAAAAACACGGTTGTGGCTGAATTGTTGTGAGAGAAAACACTGTTCCGGCTGAAAAAACAAGCCGAACAAGCCGAATATGGAGTAAGCCAAACGGGGCCATGGCATAACATAATTTGATTAAAAAAATTTGGATGGTCGATGATAGCTAACGCACCTGACAAACATTAGCATGTGACAGCTAACGTGTAATACAAGATTCTTTCAATTATGTAACATAGTTTTAATGGGGTTAACATAGCATACACACTCTACCATGTAATGTGTTATTGTGTGACATATTTCAGACAGCATGTTAGGTACTGATGTTTTTCTTGCATATAACGTGTGTTATTAATTGAATATGCAACGCAACTGGAGTACAGCTTAAACATGACTGGGTAAGATAAAAAAAACTTTTTTTATCACTTTCAAGACAAAAATATGTATGCACGTAAGCATGTTGTACATATGAACGCGTTAATGCCATAAGCCGCCACCTCGCCAAAGATTCCACCCGCCGCAGCGCGGCCACTGGTTGTTCACACGCAAGGGCCATGCACCCACTTTTGTGTCTGCCCTGAATTAGGGATTTCATATTTTTTCTAATGTTAATTGATTAATTATTTAATCTAAAAAAATCAATGGTCTAGAAAATGTTGGGTGGAGCACCGGGTCGCTGCTTTCGGCAGGAGATGAAGTCTGCTTTCCGCTGGTTCACACGCTTTGGCGAATCTGACACAGCATTTTATTTGTTTGTGACTCTACAAGTGCTTTCATGTTGGGTCAAGTCGTCAGGTTTAAATAAATAAGACAAAGTATGTACTGTAAGTCTATTATAAGCAAGGCAAATCACCAGAAGACGTGTTGATGTGGCCATGTGCATACAGCAAGCACCATGCACTAGTACAGAAACGGGCTTTACTCTTGGTTGGGAAACCCCTTCAGTCCCGGTTTCCCAACCAGGAACACGAATTCGGGACTAAAGGGCCCCTCCTTTAGTCCCGGCTTCTCGCCCGGGACTAAAGGTGCAGGTTGGTAAGACCAACCAGGACTAAAGAGGCCTCCCGGCCTGGCCATGTGGGGTGACCCTTTAGTCCCGGTTGGTATTACCAACCGGGACTAAAGGTTTCTTTTTTTTCTTTTTCTTTGTTTCTATTTTCAATTGATGATTTGTTTTGGTTTTCGAATAGGTTTTCGAATACGCATTCTACGCTGCTAGTAATATACGTATTCTACACGTTTATAATGTTCGAACATTTTGTACAAACTAAAGTATGAAACTAATGTATATATTACATGCATATACATATATTGTACGTTATTTTATGTACATATAATATGTATATATATATATATATATATTACAAATAAAGCTTGTATTGTATATTCTATCATATCCTTGGGATAACAAATTCACTTTATCTGGTTTGGCTTC